TGAGGTTTCATGTGTTTAAGCCAGGCCCAGTGTCTTACTCTCTTCCTGCTGCCTGCTGATCTGGATGTAGAACTCTCAGCTACTTCTCCACCACCATGTCTGTCATGAGGGCTGCCATGTTTCCTGTTATGGCGATAATGGACTAACCCTCTGAACTGTAACCAGCCCTGGTTAAATCTTTCTTTATAAGAGTCGCTGTGGTCATGGTGTCTCCTCGCAGCAATAGAAACCCTAACTACCACAATGGGTATAAAAGTTTATTCACAAAAATGTCCCAGAGTGCTGATTTCAAGCCTAAATTTCTTCATTCATGCCAGATGAGTGCTTTACCACTGAGCTTCTCCCCAGCCTAACCATATTTTCTTTTTCTTTTTTGTTTGTTTGTATCAAGACAGGGTTTTTCTGTAACTTTGGAGTCTGTCCTGAAACTCACTTCATATACCAGGCTGGCCTTGAACTCACAGAGATCCGCCTGCCTCTGCCTCCTGAGTGCTGGAATTAAAGGCTGTGCCACCACCACCGGCTCATATATTCTTTACCTATTTACATGTTAATGGACACACAGACTAAAGAAGATATTATGTAGACATTTGATTCTATTTAAATAATGAGGGCGTCAAAGGGCAGCGCAGGGTATGGGGCCTGCCTTCCACTTTCTTTGAGTCAGGGGCTCTCTATTGTTCACACCTGTGTTCACTAGGCTCCTTGGCCTTCAGGCTTCTGAGGATTCTTGCTGCTATCATCTTGTCCTAGGGGTGCTGGGATTCTAGGCTACAGTGCCGGCTGGAGGTGAGTTCTGGAGACCCAGGCTCAGGTCCTCACAGTCACACAGCATTGCTTTGCCCACTGAGCCATCTCCCCGGCTCCAGATTCTACACCGCAAAGAAGCTCTTGTTTCTTCTTAGTTCTAGATTTTCTACACAGAGGCAGATTTCTAGTTGGAAGGAAGAGGATGTTGGGTGGGTGGGAAGGAGGGCTGGAGGTATTTTTTGCAAGCAATGTTGCTTGAGAAAAAAAAATGTCAATTGTCCTGTTAATTATCTGCTAAGTGATAATAGAGTGGGCATTTTAGCATGATTGCTGGTACATAGTCTACTTCTACAGTTTACTAACTGCCTCAGCTGGTGCAGTCTTAGCAACGAGTTGATAAAATAGAAGGCCTAGAAAACCTACTATGCAGCCAGGCTAAAAGCATTAATGTGAGCTCTGCCAATACTCAAGCTGTAACAATAGGTGGAGACAGAGTTAGCTGCCGAATGGAGAGGTAAACACTGTTCTTCCCAGGGTCAAAACTTCAGGAATAGAATGCTGTGACAGATCCTCCCTTCTGATGGGTGTTGCTTTCCTTCCAGTTAAGACAAGGCAAGTCCTAGCCGAGACATAAAGGCTTTCATGCTTGACCCCTGCTTCCCCCCATCCTTGTCACCACTGTAGAACACATGTGCTCCAAAGCCTTAGGATGAACAGACAGACAGACACCATAAGACCATGTTTTTCTCTCTGCCCAGCCAATGTTTCCTTACCAATGTGACTTTATTTTTTTCCCTCACCATTCCCAGCTGCACTGGGAAACACAGCTATTGACAGTTCAAGAAGTATTTGACCACTTTTATTCTCAGGAAGGGTTAGAGTTTTTCTGATGTCAGCGAGGAAGACCACAGAGACGATGTCAGTTGGTTGGTTTGGGTTGACCAAGTGTCCAGCACTCCTGGATTGATTGACTGGCAGAGGTATAAGAATCAGCAGAACATGTGGTAGAGAGGAGAGGAGCATTTTCTGAGTCTTTTTCCCTTCTTTTTCCTTTCATCTCTTGAGTGCTGAGATTATAGGTGTACCCAGGCCTTTGTGTACCCCAGTCAAGCACGCTAGTAACTAGGCTGTATTCTTTGCCCCTGCGTCTTTTGGATGCAGAAGCAGCACTACTGTCCCCAGGAGGTTAAGATTCTAGGTGGGCACCGATTCAGGCTTTCTCTTTTGCTTTGTGAAATAAGACTGGGATTTATTTGACCTGTGCCCTTAAAGCCAACACAAGGACCAGCTTCAGAGGAACAGCCAACAGAAACTTGTTGAATGGAACGACGGGTGAGCTGGCTGCTGCTTACAGTGAACCTTCTTATTGAGAAAAAGGGGAGTGTGGTCATGGAACGCCAGAGGCAGGTAGCAGACAGCAGGAGGTCCGGCTCCAATTACTGTCTTATGATTTTTTCCCTATTTGAGGGGAAGTAAGCAGACAGAGGTCACATAGGGGTGATTTCCTCTCTCTCTCTCTCTCTCTCTCTCTCTCTCTCTCTCTCTCTCTGTGTGTGTGTGAATGAATTAGAGGTCTCTTTACAGATTAAATGATGGGCTTAGTTTCAGTTCTCCCATTCTATCGGCTCATCTGGTGGCTGGTGGCGGCTCCATCCTTGAGCTCCATGGATCATCTGTATTTTTGCTGTCTGTCTTCCAGGCAGATGCTTATTTACCCTCTGCCCTGAGTCACTGTTGACGTCAGGGCTGCACCCCAGCAAGAGGATGCCCTTGTTTCAATGGCATTCATTTTATCCCGTGGAGGAAACACTATGCTCAAAAGCAGACCTTGGAGGTGAGCTTCTATTTTGCAAGATCTAAGAGGTGAATTTCTAGTTGGCCAGTCACTCAGCATCTCATTAATGAGGTCAGTCTCTTTTTAATCCGATGGACTTAGTACGTTTCTGGGTGTCTCTGGGTTCGTGCTGAGTGAAGAAAAACGCCATGCCGCCATTCATCCAGCCACTTTGCTTCCCATTTTTTATTTAATGTAGCACAGAAAAGGCACAGAATTTTTCAATCATGAAAACCGAAGACATCAAAGGGTATTTGATATTCATGGTTTGAATTCTGTGATTTCAGAGGAACTCTTTGCTAGTGGAAACGATCCCGAATGGGTCCACTTTCCACAAACACTCCAGCCCAGTTTTGAATGTACAGCCAACATTTTATTGGAACGGTGGTTTGGGGGTGCTGTCGTCTATGAATGTTTGTCTTGACTGCAGAGGAAGCTGAGGACTTTCTCATCAGAACTGCCAAATATGGGATGATGTCAGCTCCCCCTGGGAGGTGGCTTTCAAAGGTCGTCATTTGAGATGTGAAGCAAAACAAAAAACATGGGGGAGGATACTTTCCATTACACACGCTTTTAAACAAGGGAACGAAGAGAGGGCCCTGGATTCTGGCCTTCCTGCTCGATGGCCTGTTGTCAAGTTGGAACCAACCCTGTCTCCATGTGGGTACAGACGACAGGTTTCCCAGAATCCTTTTCCCACTTCTGTAAGAAGCCAGGTGGCACTCTGTGGGAGAGGAGGACTGGAAGGTAGAAGAGGGAGGAGCCATTGTTTCCTCAGGAGACCAGAGCCAGATGAAGATGGGGAAGCCCGAAGTTATCTTGAGTGTCTCGTAAGGTGTGCAGTTCTGTGCTGTAGGCTGAGGTTTTTAACAATGACTTCTGACTTTTGTTCCCACAGATCTTTCATCTACCCTAATTCCTTACCTTAAACTCTCCGTACATGGAAACCGTGGAATGGCTTTTGTTCTATACTTGACTGACATACCCTTTATTCAGTGACACTCTGGCTCCCCCACAACCCTAGTGTTTGTCCATGTGGCTGTCAGGATGCTCGAGGAGAACTTAGCTTGCTGCGGGAAATAGTACGGACACACATACCCCCCCCCCCCCCACACACACACAGAGAGAGAGAGAGAGAGAGAGAGAGAGAGACAACTGGGGGTTGGCAGCTTGAAGAGGGTCAAGGGTGATATGGAGCTGGCCAGAAAATATTTTATGTTTCTATGCCACCCCACGCTGTGACTTCCAGAACACCTGCCTTTTTTTTTTTTTTTTTTTTTTTTTTTTTAGAAGGAGGTTTTGGGTAGAATTTTCACCCCTAACACAAATGCCACGGAGAGAGTTTCTGGAAGACAGATGTTTGTTTTCTTAGGTCCTACACTATACCATGTAGGGTTTCTAGGGGAACAGAACTAATAGAATGTATACATGTTATAAAAGGAGACCTACACATTCAGGGTTGAATAATCTAACCGTGCTGCAGAGGCTAAGAACCTGGCTGCTGCTTAGCCCAGGCCCAATTGAAAGGCTAACAAGGTTGGACTCTGATACCACTCAAAGATTCAGCAGCAGCAGCAGCAGCAGCAGCAGCAGCAACAACAACAACAATAACAACAGGACAGATGCATTTGACAGCAAGAAGTGAAGGTAGTCAAACAAGCAGCGTTAATTTCCCCTCAGACCCTTTGGATCTGGGCCATCTGTTTGGAGGTCACCTACTTGGGGTAGGGTCCTCTCTCCCCACTTGATCCTTCCTGGAGATGCTCTTGTAGATTTGGTATGTCTCTTAGTTCATTTTAGATCCTTGTGAAGTTGACAATCAAGATGAACCATCATGCACCCTGTAGACGCCATCAATCTCACTTATGCCGGGATCGTTGATCTGAGCTTCAGGGTGGCTTCTCTGATGTGTCTGCCTCATATGGAAGCAAAGTTTGGGAGGCTTTGGATGGGGAGAGGGAGCTGGCAATGATAATAGAGTCTTCTTGTCTGCAGTTTTTTCCTAGAGCTCTTCCAATAAAGTGAGTGTTGTAGTTTATCAGTCTTTTTTTTTTTTGTATTTCAAATTTTATTAAACTTATTTACCTGAAATATATGTTTACAGAGAGGACAGATACAGGATTTCAAGTAACTTATGGGACAGTCATTATCTGTTAAAAATATTCTTCTTTCTTCTACACACACAATCTTTCCTTTTTACAGTATAAAAGCTAGATGCAAACTTTTTTTTTTAAAATATTTATTTATTTTGTATACAATATTCTGTCTGTGTGTATGACTGCAGGCCAGAAGAGGGCACCAGATCTCATTCCAGATGGTTGTGAGCCACCATGTGGTTGCTGGGAATTGAACTCAGGACCTTTGGAAGAGCAGGCAATGCTCTTAACCTCTGAGCCATCTCTCCAGCTCCCTAGATGCAAACTTTTGATGTAAACTTATCTCATTGTTAGCTCTGGTGATGAAGATGGGAGACATACTTGTTCACAGTTCAGTTAAACGACACAAAAGCTGTTCCCGCAGACACAGAGATGCCCGTGTCTCAGTAGGACGTGTGCTTTGCCTTCACACTTCACTTCTTCTTCTTCCCTTTCCCCTTTTTACTGCCCTCTCCTTGCTGAAGACTTGGGTCAGCACCTCCTGTTTTTTGTGTCCTTGTTTTTAGCTTGGGTATCATTTCCGCTACATACAGCATCACTGACTTACGTGACGGGAACTGCACAAGACAGAGGCTGCCATCTTCCTGTTTGAGTTGAACCCGGACTCTGCCTCTGTACTGAACATCACGGTTCCATTCTCTGGAGTACATTTTGTTTTTCTCCAGAAATGCGTTCAGTCCAACTGCTGAGCATACATCCTGAATCTCAGTAGCGGTAGGGTTTTCTACAGCCTTACTTATGGGAATCCGCCTCCCCTCCGCTATGGTCTTCTTATTATTTAAATAAGCGGGGTAGATACAAATAAACCTGTCCTGGTCCGCTGGGGACCCCGCGGTAGCGCAAGCCATCTCCACGGGCGTCCCCCACGGCCCCGCCAGCCCGAAGCCCAGCTCACTAGCCGGCAGTTTATCAGTCTTGATCAGTGTTTCTCAACCTGTGGGTCATGGCCCATTTTGGGGGTCACATATCAGATATTTGCATTCGATTCATAATGGTAACAGAATTACAGTTCTGAAGTAGCAATGAGCTAATCTGACCGTTGGGGGTCACCACAGCTCGAGGAATTGTATTAAAGGGTCACAGCATTAGGAAAGTTGGGAACTACCATTCCAGATGCTGGTCAGGAGATGAATGGGTAAACAAAGTGTGGCATACGTGCACTAAAGAGTATTATTTAGCTGTGGAGAGTGTGCAAGTATGAGGACTCGAGCTAGCATCTGAGTATGCAGGTAAAGGGTCGGGTGTGGCCCTATGCACTGGTGACCCCAGAACTGTGGAGGGGAGAGACAGGAGGATTGTTGGAGCTTGCTGGCTGCCAGCCTAGCTCCAGGTTCAGTGAGAGACCCTGTCTCAAAGGAGCATTGGCAGGGAGTGGTTGAGCAGGACACTCGATGATGTCCCCCTCCAGCCTCTGCGCGCGCGCACACATACACACACACACACACACACACACACACACACACACACGACATGAAGATAGAGGGACAGGAAGTAGCAGTGTGAGGAGTGGGGGAGCAAGGAAGGATGATGGACAATGAATGTAAGCGAAGCACCATGATGTACACGTATGGAAGTGGCATAAGGAAGAACTGAAAACCAAGCCAATATTAAGAGTACAGTCTGCATTTCTTTTTCTCACCGTGAAGTAGATACAGAATTGGACTGCAGACCACAGCAACTCATCGTAGGAGGAGAGAGTCGCTTGTTGGTTCCTGGCTGCTTAGCCCCGAAATAATCACACACACAAAAAACTGTATTAATTAAATCACTGCTTGGCCCATTAGCTCTAGCTTCTTATTGGCTAACTCTTAGATAGTTATTTAACCCATTTCTATTTGTCTGTGTATGGCCATGTGGCTGTGGCTTACTGGCTAAAGTTCCTATGTCTGTCTCCGGCGGGGCTACATGGCGTCTCTCTTTATTCATTAATGGTAATCACAGCATACAGAGGGGAAGCCCACATCAACTTATTCTGTGTCCAGACAGACGGTCAGCAGGGAGGACTCCTGCGAGGCTGTATCTATTGCACTGGTAGGGGCTCAGTGCTGGAGATGACTTCCCTACTGTGTTACTGCAGGCTGGCCCTTATCAGAGGTGCAGCCTCTGGGTGGTCTGTTTATTCCCTGCTTTGCTTTGATAAGTAATATTGGTGATGACTCCGAGAGCACACATAAATCTAACTTTAAAAGGATTAGATGCGGGCTATTATGACTTCCTCACTGCGGGTATTTTGATGAAAAGGGAATTCTCAGTAGAGAATGGGAAACAGTGAGGCTCCCCTGGCTAAAATCATTCATGCTAAATGCTTATGTAAGGCAGAACCAAGAAGCTTTATAAGATAAAAGTCTCAGCGCCTCAGCTTTCTCCTTTGCCTCCTCTCTTATCTTGAACCAAGGTCTTTGAAATATAAATGTAGCTCGTCTGAAATGATAATTCACTTCCCAGACTCAAAGCTTTCAGACTCACTCCCCCTTCAGAGAAAGACATAGATCTCATCCCATCTCTGTTCTCTCTTGGTGTTTGCTGCTGTCAGCGGAAACCAGAGAAGACTACATCTCATGTCTCCAAACCTGCTGCCTGGCACAATTCATTCTTAATCTTACAGCAGACAGCCAGTGGCTCTCCCCGATAGGACTCCATCAGATTTTGTCTCTAATTCATGAAGTTCATATCCACTAAGCCCTGGTGGTGTACCACTAATGTGTAATCATCACTGGACTCAAAATGGTGAGCAAAATACCCTCGGGCAGGCGCTCTCTCTCTCTCTCTCTCTCTCTCTCTCTCTCTCTCTCTCTCTTTCTCTCTGTTTCTCTCCCTCCCTCCCCTTTCTAGTGGGGATTGTAACTTTCTTCTCTCAGCTCTTACTATAGTGAGAGAGATAAACCAAATCAAACCCAGATGATGTTTTCCTTGGTTGAAGAAGCATAGCAGGTCCATTGTAGCTCAGATTGAGGCAGAAAATTTGTTCTGGGGAGTGATGTTCAAATTGCAGTGTGAAGAGTAAGAGGCCATGGTTAGAGTAAAAAAGGAGGGTATGCGTGTCTAGTGCTCCTGTAGGTGGGACTGCATGTGCCGTGAGTGCTTTGTTTGCTCTGAGTTCAGTGTAGACGGCATCCAAATGTTTAGGTGGCTTTAGTGGTTGCAAACCCTCCCCCAACTACACACACACACACACACACACACACACACACACACACACACACATTTTCGTGCACTCAGAAGCACATTCACACACTCAGTGTCGTTCCCCCCATACAGAAAGGCTTAAAGGGCTCCACACTTGCCTGGGAGTTTTACTGTCATGCATAAAGTCACCATGATTTAAGCATGGCTCTGTTCAGTGCCAGTGCCATCATGGACTGAGGAGGACAAGGAGACCCACAGCCATGCCCAGGGCACTCTGCTCCAGCACCAAGGAGAAATCGTAGGCCCGCCTACCTGGTGATGCCAGGCAGTCAGGCATTACTCTGGTGAGCAAATCTACGGTGTTGCATGGGAAAGAGAGACAGAACATGTCCTGTGAACAGAGACATATCTGCAAGAGGTGACAGTGGCCTGAGATGGGTGGCTTCATTGCCTCTCAGGGCTGTGGTGATGTCTGGGCCCATGTCTGTGTTCATGGCCCTATTGTCGTGATGTCCATGGCTCCTGGTACCACCACAAGCAGAGAGAATAGGATTGTACAGAGTTGGCCCCACCCCTCACTGGCTGCAATACCAGGGAGAACTGATCCTGTCCCTCACCAGGACTTGGGAGAGCAAGTCCTACACCTCGCCTGGGCGGCACCATAGAGCTAACCCTGTTGATAGGGTGCTGGTGAGCCTGGGAGATCTGGCACCACCCCTCATCTGCCGTATGGTGGCATTGGAAAGGGAGAGATGCCCTCCCCACCTTGCTGCCTGTAGCAGTTGAGAGAGCTGGCCCCGAGGTCTTAAGAGTGGGAGACCTGTCCCTGCCCTTCACCAACTGCAGCACTAGGGAGAGCAGGCCCTGCACCTTATCTGGGCAACACAGTAGAGCTGACCCAGTTGGTGCAGGTGTGGGTGATGGCAACCGTGATGGCGTGAAAGCTGGAGAACCCATCCTGCCCCTTGCGCATAGCTGCATAGGGCGAACTAGCTGGGGCAATGCGGGAGAGCTCACTCTGGTGGTGAGGACGGGGGTGGGGTGGGGAGCTGGCTGGCTGACCAACCCTGTAACTACCCAGGCCCAGAATCAGTGTTGGCCCACCCCAATATCCACCCCATTTATGACCTGCTGGAACACGCATCCCTGTAGATCCAAAGCTGCAGGATCTCCACGACACAGGCCAACAACAGGATATCCTAGAGGAGCCCCCTTGAGGGCCCAGTATCTAGGTGAAGTAGAAACCAGAGGTCTTGAACCAGACCATTGACTCTTTGCAATGAACACTTGCAAGTGAAGCTATATAGACAAAAGCGTACATTGTGAGTCAGGGAGTTACACTACAGCTTCCTTGATGAGATGAGAGTTTCTTCCTTTTTCTTCTCACTCTCTTTATTTTCTCTTAAGTTTTATTGTGGAGGGGAGATTGCAAGGGCAGTGGGTGGATACGAAGGGACGGGGAGATGAATGGGATTGAGATGTATGATGTAAAAGATGCAAGAAATAAATAAAAAGAAAACTAAAAGAAATAAGGATGTTTTTTGAGCAATGAGCCTAATCACTAAAATTACAAGTAATTTCTCACTTTGTACTGAACTCTGCAGGTTATGTAAAGGAGAAGTCTTATCTAGAAGACTGCAGTTTTTATCCTTAGTTCATTTGAGATGGATTCAGGGCTAGAGAGTTTAAACAAGTTGTCTGTGAACACGCCATGGCAGGAAGTGTTGTTTTCAGAGTCCCGGCTTTTCCCTTTGTTATTTCTTGTGTGACTCTGTCTACTCATCATTGTAGCAACAATCCTCAGGCTAGTTTACCATCTTCCATTGGGAGCACAACGAGGTATACATTTGGAGCCTTTCGAGTCCGAACGCTGTGCCGCTCACCAGCTCTGCATCATTTTATTTTGTTCAGGACCTGACTCCCCTCGGAGCGGCACGGTGATGTTGGAAGCTCCTGAGAAGCTTTTCCAGCTCTGGTGGGTGGGTACTTCCACAGTTTCTTTTCCTGTTATGATAGGATACCCCAACCAAATAAACTTCAGGGAGAGAGGGCGTATTGTGGGTCATAGTTCCAGGTGATAGCACACTGTGTCAGGGAGGTTGCAGAAGTTTGCAGGAGCTGGTGACATGCCGGTACCACCAAGAAGCAGAGCGCCACATATGGAGGGGAGGCCAGGTCCCTTTGGGGAAGGACTCAGCTACAGTTCCCAAAAGTCTTACTATTAATCTTTCTGTATTCATACGGGCCTAGATTGCAGGCCAGTGGGTGATAACACCAGTTAAGTATTGTCTTCCCACATGAATGAACATAGTCAAATAATCCCTTATGGCATTCCCAGAGGATCATCTCTCAGGTGGGTTTAGATTTCATGGACTAGGGCTCTTAACCTTAGTTGAACCTGGGGTCACCTGGTAGGTAGAGCTGTCTGGGTCCCACAGCCACGTCTGGTTTCGTTTCTCCCCGGATGTATTTCTTCCCTAGATGTAGTAAGTAGTCTGACAACCAGAGGATCACACCCTGCCCAGGTGTGGAGTCAGTCTTTACTCAGCAAACCGCCTCTCTCTTTCCGGAGGCTGGGGCTTTTGTAGACAGCTCTCCCTCATCCTCTCTTCTCTCCCTTGCTCCCTACAGCCGCCTGCCCTGATCTTCCAGCTATGAGCTGCCGGCAAAGATAAAAGCAGTCCCTAGTGGTTAATGTGGGAGGCTGACTATTTCTCTGCTACGCGTTCACTTTAAGTGC